TAACAGAATTTATTCACAAAATTTTAAATTAAATCTGTACACATAAAACATCAAATATGGATTCGTCAATAAATTTATTATTACTTCTTGAATATTGAAAAATTAAAAAACAGTGGGTTCTTAGGCATTGCCTAATCCAGCCCTATCTATATAGCTACACCACTGCTAAAATTCTAAAGGAATTTGTTTTCTAAAAAATCTTTTAAATATTTCTTTAACATCTTAAATATTTTTAACTTATGGATTCAAATTAAAATTCAAAATTAATATGCCAAAAATTTATCATGTGGTCATTTAGAGAATTTTTTTTTAATTCAAAATTAGTGCAAATTAGAAGTTTACTAATTATTTTTGTTTTTTACCATCAAATTTTATTTTCCAACCAACAACTAATAAAGCAGTTCTTAAGAGTTTACATAACTAAATAAAGAACACAGACTAGTATATGTTCACAGACTAGTACATTTACTTTTGGTGTCGAACTGAAAACTAGTGCCAAATTTCAACATAATGTAGATTTCAACATAAATAAATGATTTTTTTTAATTTGATATTTAGCCATAATTCGACGTACAGAATCAAACTATGGGGAAAATAGTATATCATTTCAGGAAAAAATTTTTTAGTTTTGTATCAAAATGTTGAAAATAAAATAAAAATCATTCCATGAATGGCATATAAATCAATATTAAATTTAATTACATATGGACATTAAAAAAAATCACTGCATACTTTTAAAAGCCTTGATGTCTTCTTCCACTGCCCATCCACATACACATACGATGTAAAGGGCTTGTATTTAGCTTTATATTCAGTTTTTACTTTTCTATAATTAAAATATATATTTAATATAAATTAAAAGTTACAACAAAATATTTCTTTACTTACAATTACATAAATGTCATAACACTTCCCCCCCCCGGAAAAACTCAAATGTTACACAAATAACATATACCACAAAACTATAACAGCACTATTTTAACCAATGGTTCTGACATTGTGTGCCACAGGATTGATACCAGCAATATTATAGAAAACTTCATTACGCTTTTACCAAAATGTGGGATTCATCTCTTAAAACATCAAAATAAAAACAGAAATTATACAAACTCTTAATTTTTCTTTTTGTAAACATACCTGTAGTTCTGTTCCATATGCCAAAGCAACTACTATATTTTACTCACATATTTTGGTATTTTTCTCAATCTAACTGGGGAGGTTCGACAATGTCAAAAATAAGCCAAGCCTTATACTGTTGTAGATTTTTAATAAAATTACATTGATGTGAATAAGATTGATACAGGTCTCTATTATTCAGAAGGAAACCTCCTTTTCATTTTTGGGCCCTAGTCAGGAAAAGCAAGCAATTAAATACATAAAAGAAATCAATACGCATCGCAAAAAAGAATTAATGAAAATAAAAGAATCTGAGAAAAAGAATAACAAAATATGAAACTCCAAGCTATAAAAATTTTGAAAACTCTAACGAAAATCAAATTAAAATTAATGTTAGTAGCTAAAGTAGGTACATTCTTAGAGATGTGACAAGCTTCACTGTAATTTATCAACTGATGAGGCTAGTTTAACTCAAGTAATGAAACTTTGCAGAGTTTATACAAATTTATGTACATGGAAATTAAGGATTTTTCAAGATCAATCAATGAAAAAAAAAAAAAAATAAGGAACTATTCAGTAAATGGGAAGTGAAAAGTCAAATTCAATTATCTATACAACTGATTTTGGTTTTGTGATATCATTCCAATAATAAAACAGAAGTATGTAAGATGCATTACTATTAAACACAATATCTTAAACAAATATATTCCTTTGAAAAAGAACGTTCTTTAGCTTTAAGTATTCTATTTCTTTCTCAATAATTTTTGTTGTCTCCTTTGAATCTTCAGTATTTTTACTGTTCTAAAAAACTGTATGCATTTAGAACATGCAGAAAATACTAATTTCATTTCTTTATAATTTCAGTATTGCAAATAAATGCAGAAACTTTTATGAAATGACACAATATGCATTGAGATATGTAATATGAATCTTTTAAATTGATATTTTTCAACCAATTCAATTAAATTCAGCTCTCCAGAAAAATTTATTTTTACAGACCCATGTGAAAAAAATTAGTCGTTTCTGTAATTTTCCATAGTGAAATTTGCAAAAATAAAAGAAGAAAAAGAAAGGAAAGAGAAACGAGGCAACAAAGAGGCAGACACTTTGTAATTCTAACAAATTTAGCCCTTCGTAGCTTAACTAATAATCTAACAACAATCATCTTAATCCTGACCAACTCATTTTTCAATACAATGTGCTTAAGATGACTGTTGACAAATTTATTAAATTTAGCATTTGTGTTTTTCAAAAAACATTTTCATAAATTTGTCAAAAGCATTATAAGTATGTTATTACAGGGAATTTAGATACTATAAAAGAATTAAAAGTAAGAAGAAGAATGAAATTTTCAGTTAAATTATGTCTTACATTCAAAATTAGCATTGAAAAAGGTATGGATAACATTAATACTAGTTTAAACCAGGCCATTATTAAAACCTAAATCAAATTTAGATTTGCTATTTATATGTTTATTAAATGGAAAGATAAGATACCAAGCTAATTAAGAAAGAAATTTTCAAAATTGAAATACAAAATGAAAAAATCTTATAATAACTACCACTGATAAAATTAACAATTTTAACACAATTTGAAAAAGCATATTTTAATGAAATTATCATCCAAGAATTCACATTCACGCAATGATGGTTTATTCATCTTTAATAATTACGAAATAATTTAAACCACTAATATTTATCCTAAATGCTTTTTAAGCTTAAAAAAATCAATGTCAACAACAATTACTGTAGATTACTGTAATTTCCGGAAGAAACGCCGCGGCGTTTACGTGTTTAAAACTTAAATTTTCAGCGGGTGCGGCGTTTCTACCCATGCGGCGTTTAGGTGCACTAAAAATAAAATATTTCCTATGATGGTCATTGTACATAGTTTGGATGGCCTTGTCATTGTGCATAGGTTGGTGCTGTTCCCACACAAAAGACCACTCAGTTGCTTTTTGCTAACGTTATTTTGTTTACGTTCTTTCCCTTGAACGGACCTACATGCCTTATTCACCCTAAACGAGATCTCAGAACAATAACATTCTTCCCCCTTTCAAATCAACATTCTCATCAGTTTGAATAGTCTCTCTCCTCTGCCATTCGATGAATCTTCCAGGACCCATCCTCTTTCCACCCCTTTCCTTTTCTGCAATTTTTTTCAAAGGCGGACACGACTCCACCTGCCTCGCAATAATGAACTCTGACGTATTTCTCCTTCAGCATAAATGGATTTTTCTTGGCATTCTGCCAAATACAGATCCCATCAGTTAGGGTACAAGTACTTGTTGGATAGTTTTTAATTAGGGAGCGAAAAATTTTTGAAAATGTCTCTAAACGGCAAGGAAGCTATACATTTCTTACCTTTAATTTATTTTTGAGTTATGGTTTCATTTCATGCATTTTTCTTAACTGGTATGTCATATATCAGGACTTAGGTTGCATCTATACAGCCCACGACGATGTCACGCGCAATTTAATCTATTGCGGCGTTTCTGTGTAATTTTAATTTTTTTCCCGCCATTTTTCTCAAGTGCGGCGTTTACGCTGATGCGGCCTTTCTTCCGGAAATTACGGTACCTTTATCAGCATTGTTAACTATAAACAAATTAAATGTGACAAATGGAAAATACTATTTAACTTTAGATGCATAAATTAAATCATATTTTCTAGAGTATATATAAATTCATGTTTAAAAAAAATATATAATTGTAATTGTGTGTGGGGTGATGATAATGTATTTCGTTGCAGATTATTTATGATTCGTTGCAGATTATTTGTTGAGGATTATTTCGTTGCAGATTATGTAGATGTTATTTGATATTCGATAAGAGCCTCAGTAGCAAACACACCAATTATTCTGTAGTCATGAGTGGACTGAAGTTAGAAAATCACTGAAATGTTGATTATGCGATAGAAGACAGTAGGAACGTTTTTGAAGAATTACAAAATCACTTGATAATCTGAACATATCTTTATTACTTGTTGGTTACTCTATGGCATGGCACATATGGGGACAATCTACAGTCTGCACCCCGCAATTTTGATTATGCTGTATTATATTTTTAACAATGAATAGAAGCAGTCAAGCAAGAGCCATCTTTCAGCTAGCAAGTGTAGGCAGCAAAAGGGGATACACAGTTAGTTGCAGTACTATTTACAAATTGGGAAATTCTTTGTTTTAGTTCTGGAAAGTGACTGTGCAATTTACATCAATGCGGATACTGCAAAGAAATTGCGGACAGCTTGAAGAAGTTTTCCCTCTTCAAGGAGAAAAAAGCTTGGTGACAGAGAAGACTTTTGAGTAAAATGCATTAATGTGTTAGCACAGGAAGAGAAATTTTGTAGAATACTCACAATTTCAATGAGGATTGGACTGGATTATTCAATTATGGCAAAGCACATGAGGGCTATCTGCCTATAATTTCAATGAGGAAACAAATGAATAGCTTCAAGAAGTAATTTAGAAATACTAAAACAAAATATGTTTCTGTAAATTAAATTTAATCTCTAATTTGAAAGTCACTAAAATATAAATTTGTAAAAGTTCTTGAGGTGGCTGGCAAATTCTTGCAGTCTTGTGAAAAATCTTCCATAAAAAGTATACAGTACAAAGTCTTTAATCCGGACGTCCACAATCCGGAATGATCTATAATCCGGACCTCAAAGCTACAACCTTTCTGCACATGTGTAGCATTTACGCATGCGCATTTAATGTATAATGGACGATACAAGCTAGGCTAAAATTATCTAATTATCTATTTCAGTTAATGTTGCAGATTGCATTGCTCCTTAATCTTCTAATTGGATCTGGCCGTGACCTTCGAGAGGGAGAAGGCCGTGACACTCGTTGAACAAGTCAGAGATGACTCATGCTTTCCGTTCATGCCTGACCATTGTTGTGTACCTAATTCAAATTATGCTGGAACTGAAAATTACGTGAGTGTGTACAAATTTCCAATGGATGAAGCAAACAAGCAGCTTTGGGGCTGTAAGATTCCTCGTGCGAATTTCACACCATCTAAACGAAGTGTTGTTTGTGAAAAACATTTTCGCGAAGATATGATTGTACGTGAGGATGTATACACGGATAAAAATGGAGTGATTTCAAGAATTCCAAGAAAACGGCCAATGCTAAAAGATGGTGCATATCCATGCATATTTAACGGCTGTCTAATGTATATGACCGAAAAGCCGCCAGCAGTCAGGAGAAGTAGAATGGAAAAAGAGGAATATTCACACGTTTCACAGAAAATGACAAAATTAATGGATTTGATAAATTGCTAACATATGCTGATATAAAAATCAGAGAAATTCTGAAGAAAAATACAAAATTCGTTGTCTATAAAAATTCTGGTGAACTTTTTGTTTTATTTTTATGTTTTTGTCCAGCTCCATTCATTCAAAAGTGCTTAAAAATAGATAAAGAAATAAATGCTGAATTATTTTATAATAATAAGCCTGTTTATTTGGATAAAGTAAAGCACATATTGAATGAAGTGCCAAAGATCACACTGTGGAGTGAAGTTCAGAACATTTTAACTTTTGTTGAAAATTTGACAAATAATAATGATATTCCTGAAAATAATTTTGAGACAGCTGTTAAATACTGGAGAGCTTTAATACAGAAAGAGGATGATGTACAGGAATATAATGATGGCCAGTTTATTCTAGAGCAAATGAAACTGTTCGAAAAATCTAGCAGAGGAAAAAGATACAGCAGTTATCTGACGGCATTTGCATACTCTTTATATAGGAAATCTACATCATGTTACGAAGCAGTTCTTGCAAGTAATTTGGTCAAGATGCCATCTGTAAGACATTTGAAAAGATTGACTTCTTGTTTGAAATTAAATCAAGCAATGATTGACACAAATATTACAGTCAAAAGTCGTTAATCCGAACTCGTCGGGACTTCGGCGATTCCGGTTTATCGATTTTTCCGGATTATAGATCATCAGTTTAAATCACGTAAGATGGCATGCAGAAATTCTAAAATTAAAAATATGAAACCGTAATTTATGAAATATAAAACAATTATGATCTAAAGGGTATCAAAATTTACAAAAAAAAGCTTAATATTTATTTGTTTACTTTATTAAACATTTCTTTCAATGTCAGTTGTTTAAGTTGCTTCGTTTCTTTATGTGATAATACATTCTCTTTAATTCTATAAACAGACATAATTTTTTGTTCAGTTACAAAGTTCCGCTGTTCAAGTCCCGTTAATTGCTGTGCCGAGAATATCGACTAACTTGTCAATCGAAATTTTTTCGTTTTCACTAACCTCTCTGTCACATTCTCCATGTCTTTACCCTTTTTTGCAGCAATTCCACTTTTTGTGTGATGAACATCGAAACATACTTTCATTTTGTACGATCCTTTGCGAGCTCCAGATTCGGAAATTCTATTTGACATAATCGAAAGTTCAAGTTTACTTTTATAAAATTGCTCTTACAGTCTGCAAAAAATCATAAGCCGGATCCAATTCGAAGATTAAGGAACAATGCAATCATCAACATTAACTGAAATAGATAATTAGATAATTTTAGATTATACCGTTCGTTATACACAAAACTCGCACGTGAAAACATATTCTGCGCTTGCGCACACGCAAATGCGCAGTCGTAAGAGTCTTACGCGCACGTGTAAATGCCTATGCGCCTGTGTCAACGCGGCGCATGCGCAGAAAGTTTTTAGCTTTGACGTCCGGATTATGGGTGTCCGAATTAACGACTTTTGACTATACTAGTCCAATGTTTTCACATAGCATTAAGAGTCTTGGTTTGTGCAAGGGCTTGGTCAACAAATCTGCAACTTGCACTTTTGTTGAAATCTGCTGCATATGGATTTTACCTTCCAGAACTTTCTCACATATGAAAAAATTTTTCAGGCTTATGTGCTTGGTCCTGCAATGAAACTCAGGGTTCTGAGCAAGTCTTACTGCAGCACTGTTGTCTACATAGATGGTTGGCACCTATTTCAAGGAAAGAAACAGCAGTAATCAGTCTGTTCAGCCAAATGACCTCTTTTGCAGCTTCATTTGCTGCAACTATCTCAGCTTCTGTAGTTGATGTTGCAACCATGGCCTTGGCATTGGCTCAACCAAGATATTGTTCCACCTGCATACAAACATATTACTTCACTGGTTGATCTGCCTGTTTGAATACATCCAACAAAGTCAGCATCACTAAAACATTCTAAAATTCCTGGTTTATAGCCTGATTTATAAATGATGCATTTTTGCTTGGAGTTTGCAATGTATCTAAATACACGCTTAACCTTGATCCAGTCTTCTTTAGAGGGATTTTCTAATTTACGTGACAAAACACTAATAGAGTATGCCAAGTCAGGTCTTGTCCCCATCATCAAATACATCAATGCTCCCACAGCTTCACGGTAAGGGATATCTGTTTCATTAACTTCTTCTGTGTAAACTACTTTATCTTTCAAAATGGGTGTATGAACTGGTCTGCAGTCACTCATGCCAAACCTCTGATGAGGATCTTTGTGGCATATGCTTCTTGCCCTATCTTAATACTTCCATCTTCAAGACGCTGTATTTCTAGTCCTAAGAAATATGAAGCTGGCTTGACTGGTGATTTTAAACTTTAACTTCAACTGGTCTATAAAGTTTCTGGAATCTTCTTCATCAGTAGCAGCGATCAGTCCATCATCCATGTAGAGTGCTATGAGTAGCTTCTTACCGTTTTCTTCTCGAATGAATAGACATGGGTCTGCTTCACTGACCTTAAACCCAAGGTCCATCAGGAATTTTCTGAAACATTTATGCCAGCATCAAGGAGCTTGTTTTAGCCCATACAAGCTTTTCTTGAGTCTGCATACTTTATCGGTACCATCGCTATATCCTTCAGGCTGATTCATATAGATGGGTCCCTCTAGATCACCGTACAAGAAGGCAGTCGAAACATCAAATTGCATAAGATGCATACTCTCACTAGCTGCAATGCTTATGAGTGAACGCACAGTTCCTAGCTTTGTGACTGGACTGAAGGTCTGGTTATAATCAATACCTTGTCTCTGATTGAGGCCTTTAATCTCAAGTCTTGCTTTGTGCTTATCCATGGTGTAATCTGGATTTTTCTTGGTTCGGAAGACCCATTTGCAAGGAAGAGCTTTTGATTCATCTGGAAGAGTTTCTAATGTCCAGGTGTCATTTTCCTTCAAGGAGCTAATTTCAAAATCCATGGCCTTTTTCCACAAATCCTGTTTCTTTACAATTAATGGCATCTGTGTATGACTGTGGTTCATACACACCACACATAAAAAAAATCAGATGCCATCACATAATCTTCAAAAGATTTAGGCCTTTTTATTGCACTGCGCTTTCTTAAGTTCATAGCAGGTGATTCTTTTTCATCTTCATTTTAACTTTCAGAACTTGTTTGATCTTCTGAATCTTCTTGATCTTACTTCCCCTCATTTTCAGCTTCAGGTAACTGTATTTTAGGTTTCAGGCAGAAGGTATTTTTACTGGATCTTCGCAATTTTTCAGAGGTTTTTCTTGAAATACTACAACTCGTGAGCAGATAATAGTACTGGTTTCTTTTATCCAGATGCGATATCGTTCATTTCCATCATATCCTGGTAGGTAGCCCTTTACGGCTTTCTTATCCATTTTTCTGCATCTCTGATCTGGTATGCGAGCAAAACAAGGGGGGATCCAACTATACGCATATGTCATTATTCTAGGTTTTTGTCCCATCCAAGATTCGTAAGACTTATATTCGATAATGAACTTTTCCCTGTTCTGTTTAAAATATAGACAGATGTACTAATAAATTCAGCCCATGATGATGAGGGAAAATTAACTTCAGAATTAGAATTCTTCAAAGTTCTTGCCATTTCTACCAAGGTTCTGTTTTCTTGCTTATTCCCACCATTTTGCTGTGGGGTATAGAGGGCAGTTAATCTTTGAAGAATTCCATTTTGTCTTAAAATAAGCCTAACATTTTCATTATCAAACTCACCACCATTGTCGCTTAACAACTTTTTGATAGTATGTCCTACATTTTTTGCATGTGGTAGCATATTTTCAACTGCTTCTGCAACTTCTGATTTATGGCGAAGGAAAAACACATACCTAAAGTTGGTGAAATGATCCTTGAAGAGTACAAAATAATGATACCTCTTGAAGGATTCGTCAAACGGTCTGCAAACATCCGTTGAGATAAGTTCTCCGGGCTTTGTTTTCTTCTCTCTGTTGCCAAATTTTAGACGATGTGTTTTCCCATGTATACAGGGTTCACATAGCTGACTGTCTAGTTTAACCCTGATATACCTATCTGTTCTTCAAGGACATTCTTAATATGACGTTTGTCCTGGTAACCCCAGCGCTCATGGTATAACTGCAGAGTTGAATCACTTGTGACAGCTATGTTGACCTCTAATGGGTTATTCGGAACAAATACTTCCATATGAATTTTATACAGACAACCACTTATGCTTCTTGTACAACTTCATTGTTGATTTTCAACCAACATTCTTCTGTAGTTGATTCAAATCTACTACTTTTGTTTTTATCTTGAGCAGCCAGTACGGAGAATAAGTTCTTACTAATACCTGGAACAAACCAAAATTCTTTAAGTTCTTTGAATTGTTTTTCTCCTTTTATCGTTGTCATAAGCTTGAAAGTTCCTTTACCTACAGCTGGTAGTATTTTGCCATTCGCAGCAGTAATTCCATGTGGTGTTTCAAATTTTTCAAATTCTGTGAAGTAATCACCATTATTGGTAATGTACTTTGAAGCACCATTATCCGCAAACTAGTCATAACAACTCTTTTCAGATGAGAAAGCTTCTTCGTCTAGAGCTAATAAGGACATATTTGCTATAACATTCATCTTTTCTTGAGACTTTATCATTTTGACTGGGTTTCAGTGGTCTTCCATCTTCTATCCATTTTCGACAAAATTTAATCCAATGTCCACTCTGGTGGCAATAGTTGCATTTTCCTATCTGCTTTTTTACCTTTGAAATTTCTTTTTATTTTGCTTGCTTTAGCTGTAATGCATCTTGATTTTGGACATACCCTTTTGATTTTTCTTCTTTATATTCTGTTTCTTGAGGGCATAATTGAGTAGTTAACTCATCAATTGTTCTTTTTTCTTCATTAAGAAGCAGCCAACTTGACTTAAAAGAATGGTACTCTTGAGGTAGGTTTGCTAATTAATAACATCTGAGGCAGTTGGGTTTCTTGCTTTCTTTGAAGACCTAAATTTTATTCATTTCAAAGATTCTTCAGCTTTGATAGATAGGCAACCATACTATCATTCATTGTCCACTTACACTGGAAAAATTGTAGACAAATATTATATAACTGATTGTCAGATGTTGCTTCAAAAAGTTTATGAAGTTCTAGCCATACCTCTCTAGCAGTATCAAACCTCATAATTTTCTGCATGGTTTCTTCTGTCATAGAGTTTGTCAGTATCATCATGGCACAAGTGTTGGCCATTTTATATCATGAAAGATCATCTGAGTATTTCTTCAACAGCTCCTTCAAGTGGCTGATCTGGTTTAACTATTTTTCCTTCAACAACTTCCAAGGAGTTGTTATAGTAGTTTAAAACGAACTTGATTCTATACTTCCATATCAGCCAATCCAATTCTCCACTCAATGGCTTCAACTGAAACTTTCCTACCTCCATTATTTACTCTTAGCGTTTCTGTACCGTTCTTTACCTTTAATGAAAAAAACGATAAACACTTGAATATTTAGTCCACTTCAATCAAATACTTCCCTTTAGGGCTTTCTTTAAACAAAATCTGATTTCAGGACTTGAATAATGAGAAGAAAAAACTTTGCCATTCTTCCCGATCGCTTGGTTAGGGTTAACGCTATTCTCTTAACCCGGGAGTGCGTACGCTCTTTTGGGTTACGCGAGCGCGCGCCCTGGGTCCAAAAGACCTGGCTCCTGTTTTTTGAAGAAAAAACTGTTACATTTATGCCAAAATTTTATGATCAAACTTAAAAAATATGCAAACTATAAAACTTATAATTTTAATTCCAATTTCTATGAAATAATTTTTTAAAGGAATAGAAAATGTATTATATTAATATAGAATTTATTAGGAATTCATTTATTATTCAGGTTATTCAGGAATTATTATTCAGGTTTATCAGGAATACACTGCTTGAGAGAACATTTTCCTCGTAAGGCTTCAAAGGTTTTCATTAATTGTTATGAACTCACTGACAGTGTAATATTTGTGTAATATTTGTGGCAATTATTCACAAAATCTTCAAAAAACTCTTATAGGTGCAAGTTTATCTGATTCGTTCTTGACGACGCGAATTTCTATGTCATCAAAATGCAAACATCTTTATAAAAAAAGAAAACATTTGTAGGACATAGTTTTGTGGAAAATTTCCAAGCCGGTTCCGTCTATTGCCAGCAAATCCCGCACATTTACATGAGATGACTTATGTCACAAAAATATATAAAAGACCTATACAAATGCGAATTTCAGTTAGAGTTGCGTTATGAGCATCTTTCTCTCTTTGAAAGCTGTCAGAAATAGATGCAATATAAATATTTGTGTAACTGACAACTTTCAGAACATTTGTTCACTTAGTAAAAGTTACCACGATTCATTTGGAGTCTATACATATTTTGCCTTACTGATGCTTCCAGGCAATTTAATAATATTATGAGCAGGAGTTTTAACATCAGCTTTAGACTTTCTTTTTACCATTGGGTTTTTTGTCTTTTCCAATAAAGCAATAAATGTCATTCTCATTTTCTTTTTCAAAATGCATCTTGATTTCTGAATCAGGGTCATGAGAACTAAAAAATTCATTATAAATTTCATCATCAGTTTCTTCAGTGGAGTCTTCAACAGTTGATACATCAAATAATTTTTGCAAACGTAACATTTCTTCCTTATAGGATAAATTACACGACATTTTTGCAGTTTTTGTGCTACCACAAATGAACTACCTTACAGCAATGTGAATAGGCATGCTGGGTCTGAAAGACCCGATCTGGTTAAAACAAAACTTCGAATAAAATTTCTGGCAAAAAAACTTCGGAAATATAAAGAGGATGGCCTTGGAGGAGACTACACTGAATTATAACCACTTGGGGAAAATAGGGGCATTTCCAGAACGGTTTCTTTAATCGGGCGGGTCCACTGGACCCAGCGCGCGCGATTAACATTATAAAAACTTGTGCTTAAAAAATAAAAGTCTACTATCATTTTTGTGCATGTAGCATGCATAAAACCCATAACCTATTGCATTTTAAGATTACATATGCTAAAACTGAAGAAGAATCTTACTAAATGTTGTTCTAATCCATGCTGTTAATGCAAGTTAAGTTATATGACAAAGTCAACAACAAATCGCTCAACCAAGGAGGTTAGAATACATGGAGATGCCCTGCGCGCAGTCCAAGTGAAGCCAAAAAGGGGGGAAAGCATGCCCTTAGTAGTCGTGGCTTTAGAAAGATTGACGAGCTCTTC